ATGCTCACATAGGGTCCAGGGTATGGAATTTCAGCATCTACCCAGCTGGGCCGGAAGCCCCTCTTTAAATTTGGGGGCCACAGTGAAGCCATGTAAGGTGCCCCTGCCTTACATCATCAACTGCAAGTCAGACCCCAAGACTGCCATTATGTTCAGGTTTGCTGGAAGGACTCCCAGAATCCACAGAAGCTCGTGCACTCACACTTAGGTTTATTACAGGGCAAGAGTCCAGAGTAAAATCAGGCAGGGCAGAAGGAGGGCATCACCTGGGCAGGAGCTTCCTCCATCCCCTCTGGGGGGCACAGACCCATAACTCCCCTAGCGTCAGTGTGTGATGGCACACCCAGCGTCCTGTCACCAGGCACTCCCACCCAGGCCTCTGGTCCGGAGTTCTTACCAGAGCTGCATCAGACGTGGCCCAAGTCTGCAGCCCCTTCAAAGGCAGACCTGAGACTGTCCGGCCCCCAGACCCCAAGCCAAGCCAGAGACTCCTGCGAGGCAGACATCCCGAGGGCCGAGCTCACCAGCAGGAGCTGAGGGCAAAGGCTGGCCCTGTCTTTAGGACACGTTAGTCCTGCACCACCCTTCCTTCTCGGCAACACACCTGTTCACCCAGCAAACAGTGACAAGCTCCAGTCGGGCACCAGCAACACGGCAATGCCCAGCAAGACGCAGTGCCTCCCCTTCGCACCCACAGTCATGAGCACAAGTGGACCCCAGGGAACAGCAGGTGTGCAGGTCAGCCGGTGACTCAGTCCTGCCTCCTAGGTTCCATGCCCCTGTGGCTGCGCCGCCTCAGCCCAGCGCCAGCCTTCACGGGGTTGTGGGCTGCATAGGGATGCGGCCAGCTGCTGAGCAAGAGGACTGCTGCACAGGTGCCTGCAGAGTGCAAGACTGTCCTCTGAGGGGCGCGGCCCCAGGGTCAGTCAGCTGGCCAGCTATGGCGGGCCAGGGAGTGGACACGTGCTTATGCAGGCATGCGTGCTCTCGTTTGCTGCCTGTGTCCGTGCAGTGTGTGGGTGCTCACCGAGGTGTCACTTGGTCCTGGCTTGGTGCAGGTCGTGGGCATACGTCCCACACCCAAGCAGTAAATATGTCTGTCCCCAGAGTGCTGCTTGTCACTAGGGACTGGGCCCACTGCAGTCACGGGGCAAGTGAGATGCTGGAAGAGTGACGTTCTAGGGGCAGAATCGAGCCAGTGTCAGCAGGAAGATCCCTTTACCTCCTCCTCCCGAGACAGCCGGCGGTGCTCCGAGATGGAAAGCTCTGAGCGAATGATTGCAAGCTGAGCTTGAGCCATGGCCCTGGCGGTGCCTGACCTCACCTCCCATGCTGCCCGGCGGTCCTGGTGTTTGACATTTGGTCACTGAATCATCAGCGTGATGACCACTTGCCCGTGACTTACAGCTCCTGCTCACGTGTCATGGTACCAATACCCCCAGCTCAGCTCGGCTTAGCTACTGTTTAATACTTCACTCTTGTTTAATCACCCTCTTTAATAAGGGCAGATACTTAGATGTTTAAAAGATGAAAATCACATCTTTGAGTAAAATGGTCCCTTTCCCAATAACGGCTGTGCGTCAGTACATAGAATAGTCTAATCTGGCATCTGTTTATTTCTGGAAGGAAGCTTGATTTTGCTAATACGTTTTTATGCACCAGGATTTTTTTTAAAAAAAGGAAAGCTATCCATAAAAAGACAATTACAGAGAAGCAATCAAGCATTGATAGCAACATTCAGACCCATCTCAACGAACATTCAGGAGAGGAAAGATTGCAGGTTTCGTTTTATATAGCTTCTCATAAATCAATTTTTAAAGAGATTTTCTTGCATCCAATGAGGTAAATTTTATTTCTGTAGCCAGGATTCCTATCCAGACAACAATATGCACTTGGCTCTATAATGATATGATGCTGATTGTTTTAGCCCAGAGACAGTATTTTGTTTATTGTGGAGTCAGGTTCCCCCCAGAGCCTACACCACAAGCCAGTGATGCACTGGGTGCGTACAGAAGCATCCGAGCGGCCCTCCTGTCCTCCCGGGGCAGTGCAATTACCCGTGAGTTATGTCTGCTCCCAGGGACACAGGCTTGTGCTTGGCAAGCAAGGAAGAGCCAACGGGGAGGTTAAATGACTCTCAGAGACACTGCGCGCCACCAGTGAGTCTGCAGTTCCCGGCATGAGCCTTTGCATTTCTCCTGCCGCTCTGAGCTCAGCCTTCCCTGGAGCTGTCTCCGCATGCCCCGGCCCGAGGAAGGCAGAAGAGCCAGGAGCCCCTCCCAGGGGCGCAGGTGGAGATGGAGAGCCAGGAGTCCCCCGCAGGGGCGCAGGTGGAGATGGAGAGCCAGGAGTCCCCCGCAGGAGTGCAGGTGGAGATGGAGACAGGGCGGGGACATGAGGGCCAACACTGGAGACCAGTCCTCTGCCTTTGCCACCAGTCAGCGCAGCTGGAGCAGTGTGGGTGGATGCAAAGGCAGGAGGGGGCGCGTTGGCGGGCAAAGGGCCAGAGCAGACACAGTCGCTGCAGGCAGCCCAGCCCAGTGCCCTGCTGTCCATTCAACAGGTACTTAACGGAGGGCCTGCTGCGTGACGGGCACTGTGCCAGTCCCAGTGGACACAGTAGGGATCACAGAGCACCAGAACCCCCCTCCCCTACACAAGGTCCAGTTCTCACAGGGGACACCATTGAAGAGCTCAGAAAATCCTGAGAACAGCATAGAGGGCTAGCGAGTGCTGTGGGGAGGCTGGGCCGTCAGACAGGGGGCCGGGGAGGGGGTGGGGCCTGAGGGAAGCCGGGGGAGCCGTCCTGAGCCAGGTCCCAAGCCAGGAGCTGCCCAATCTGGTGTCTGCTTTGTAAGGACAAATGACCCTGGTGAGGACTGCAGAAGGGCAGAGGTGGGGGTCTGCACCCTGGGCTCCCAGGGGCCAGGGTAAGAGAAGAACACACTCTGTGTTCTCAAGGGCAGCTCTGTGTCTCACCTAGGGGACTGGGTTTGTGTTTGTTTTAGGTTCTGGGTTTTCTGAGTGCTTCTTCCTGCAGATTAAACGAGGCATTGTCCAGTGGTGGCGTGGAGGATCGGCTCAGGATTCCCCACAGACACCGAAATCCACAGATGCTTGTGTCCCCTGTACAGAATGGCACAGTATTCGCACAGACCCGCACACTACCTCCCGTAACTGTGAATCCTCTCAGGGTGACTTACAACACCTAACGCGATGCAAATGCTGTGTAAACAGTTGCCGCACTGTGTGGCTTAGGGAATGATGACAAGCAAAGAAGTCTGCTCGTTTTCAGAACAGGTGCAGTATTTTCCACCTGCAGTTGGTTGAATCTTCAGGTGCAGAACCAGAACGCGGAAGGCTGACCGTAGGTCCGGTTCTCGGCACACGGTAACCTCTGGAGACTGTGCTGGTGCTAAGGGGGTGTCACCCACGGCTGATCCGTGCAGACTTCAGCCTTCGCGCGGCGCTGGGAGCCCAGAGCACTCCTCAGCCTGAGGAACGCTGCAGAACTGAAGGAGGGGGCTTCTGGCTGCCTGAGGCCCCCAGGAAGCACTGAGCGCCTGTCACTTCCTGCCTCAGCTCTGGTCCAGCCTGCAGCACCCTGCACAGCGCCGGCCCCTGCTGGGCCCCGGGCGCAGATGGCTGGGAGTGAAGTGCCCGGCACTCTGGGGGAGACGCTCATCAGGGCTGGCCTGAGCTCCTGGGCGTTTGCTTCCAGAGGCCAGAGGATTTTCTCCTCTTTTGTTAATAGCCAGAAAAGAACACCCGTGCCCATCATGCATCCCACAGGAGAACGTGTATTCACGTGGGTTTTCCTGCCAGGCTCCTGAAGCGCCAGCAGGCAGCCTGGGCACTGTGTCGTCCACAGTCTACAAGTGGAGAGACCACTGCCAGAGGGGCTAGGGGACGTGTGGTCCGTGGCAGAGCTCCAGCCGAAGCCAGGGTCCCTGAGCCTCCACCGCCAGGCTTCCCCCAGCTCCTCGCAGACTGCCCTGGCCAGCCAGGGAGCCTGGGCCTTGTCTGTGTGCTCAGCTCCGCACACCCTAGCCTCAGAGACGACCAGGCGCTCAGGTCAGCCCTGATGAGCGTCTCCCCCGGAGTGCCGGGCACTTCACTCCCAGCCGTCTGCGCCCGAGGCCCAGCAGGGGCCGGCGCTGTGCAGGGTGCTGCAGGCTGGACCAGAGCTGAGGCAGGAAGTGACTGGCGTGCAGTGCTTCCTGGGGGCCTCAGGCAGCCAGAAGCCCCTCCTACCTCCCTCCCCTGCCCGCTGGGCCCGTGAGGCCCCGTGTTGTGATGCTGCTGAACTCCCGGCCCGAGGCTCTCAGGCCACTGCTTGCACCACCCCGGCCACCAGCCCTCCCTGGCGCTCCCATAAGGCCCTGCCCCTGTTTTCTGTGTGCTCCATTGTCTTCAGCGTTCCCCCGTCTCTGCAACCTGCCCAAGGTCATCCTGGGGCTCAGGTGAGATCTGAATCACCAGTCAGCGAGCTGCAGCCACGGGCCAGATGCAGCTGAGCACCACTGAGTTACATTTCAGCGGATACAGCCGCCCTCCCCGAGTGACGTCTGGGGATGGCTGTTCTGCCGTAGCAGCAGCGTCGAGTGATGGACAGGACCTGGCCAACCCGCAGAGCCAAGAACGTTGACTCTCCCCTCAACAAGACTTTGGCTGGCCCCTGCTCTAAAGGCAGCCCACCCTCCAGGAATGGGGCCTCCTGGGTCAGGAAGGAGGAGAGGCTTGCGTGAGGCAAGGTCAAGAGCAGGTGCGCTGCGGGCAGAGGTCAAGCCAGGCCTCCCAGAGGAGGTGCCAGGGCAGCAAGGCTGGAAATGGACGTCGGGGGTCAGTGCTGGCCGCGTGCAGGGCGGCGGCGGTACTGCTGCCCAGGGCCACAGCCTGCAGGCCGCTCCAGGCGAGCGGGGCCAGACACAGGAAGACTTCTGTGTCTGCACAGCCTGCTCCATGGGGACTGGATCTCACTGTCGGCTTTGCCCACACAGGACTTCGGTGAGGACAACTCCCTGTACATCACCAAGGTGACCACCATCCACATGGGCAATTACACCTGCCACGCCGCCGGCCACGAGGAGCTGTTCCAGACCCACGTCCTGCAGGTGAATGGTCAGTAAATGGCGCCACGCGTGTCGTCCCCTTCATGCTGCGTCCCCTCCCCCGTCCTCTGCCCTGCAGAGCACTCAGGGTGCCTGGCTGAGCAGCCGTGGGCTCTGGAGCCGAGAGTTTGAAACTCGCTGCTCCTCCTCCAGGAGCCAGTGAGCCACACCCTGTGCCGTGGGGAGGCCGGCAGTGTTCCCCTCCCCCAGGGGCTCAGCTCAGACAGAAGCGGAGCAGGTCTGGGGCTCCGTTCTGATTGGATGAGCCCCGTGTTGCCCGCACGCCTAGCACCTGGGCAAATGGCTACAGCTGCAGCAGCTGCACCAACCCGGGCTTTCCAAGCCCTGAGCAGGCTGGTGCGGGCTGAGCAGACCTTCCGTCAGTGTTCTGTGGGAGCGTTTCTGCGTGGGGTCACTCACCCGGGCTCCCCCTGCTCTGAGGAGTGCTTCTGGACCCAGAGCCGGCACCGTGACCTCCACATCACACCACTGGCCATGGCAGCTGGCCGCTGCAGCCAGCAGAACACACAGTTCAGTCTCCCCACAGTTCCCCAGCAGGTCAGCACAGGGAAGCGAGTCTCATCCAGCCAAACCCAGCAGGGCTGAGCCGGTGTCGGGGCGTGAGGGAGTGGTGTGGAAGCCGCCAGGTCCCGCCTACAGCAGTTGCTGGGACATCGGGAGGTTCACCTTGCTTACCTCGGGGATTCGGGGTGGGAGCCACTGAAGGGACGCCGTGTGAGCTCACCTCGCCTCTGCATCTACCTGACAGGACGTTTAGGCTTCAGCATAGTCATTCCTGCCACAGCCCCATCTGACTGTTTGTTTTTTAAAACTTTATTTGAAAATCAGAATGATAAAGATCTTCCATCCATTGATTCACTCCCAGAATGCCCACAGCAGCCAGGACTAGCCTGAAGCCAGGAGCCAGGAACTGCATCCAAGTCTCCCACGTGGGTTGCAGAGACCCAAGTACTTGGGACGTCATTGGCTCCCTCTCAGGGACATGAGCAAGTAGCCAGAGCTCGAACCTGGCACTCAGACATGGGATGCGGGTGTTCAAAGCTGTAGCTTAACCCTCTGGGCCACAGCACCCGCCCCTTAGTGCTGCTCCTGCGCTGGGATTGAGGCCTGGGGGCTTCCTGGCTGCACGTGTTGGCCTCTGATGAAGTTCGTGGAGTCCCTGAGAGGCAGGCCAAGTGTCCTTCATTATAACCCTAGTGGGTGAACCGGCGGCTGGGGTTGGAGCCAGGGGCTCCCTCAGCAGGGCTGTCCGAGCTGGAGCATGGCTGCACGGGGTGATGAGAGGGGACGCCTGAGGTCCTCAGGCGAGTTGGGAACATGAGCTCGCCGACCCTGCATGGCCTTCAGGGCAGCCCCGCTCACCCTGCCCCCCTCACACTGCCCTCGCAGCCTGTTTCGGGGATCCCCCTGCCCAGAACCTCAGACCTCGCAGGTGAGCAAACCTGTAGATGCCTTGGGCTGCTGGGAGAATGCTGTGGTCTCAAATTGTTCAATACCCAGAGTGTTTAGTCCACAGTGCCGGGCTATCCCCGGACCCCAGGTTTTTGAGACTGAGCTCTTAGTATGGATGGAGCCTGTGTTGTACTCCCAGCACCCCTGGAGCGAAGCCGTCAACACGCTGTGGTGTTCTGGGCATCAGTAAAGAACAGGTGGGAGGCGGGGCGCTCAGCTGGCAGGGGGGGTTCTGTCTGAGGCTCTACAGCTGCCTCGCCCCCCACCAGCCCAGCCATTGCTCAGGCTTAGCCAGAGAGGGTACTCTTGGCCCTAGGTGTCTAAACAAAGAGCAAAACCTTGTCGCTGAAATCCCGGCAGGCCACTGGAGACCCATTTCCTGGTTGTCAAGAGATGTCTGCAGCAAGTAGGAGGGAGTGCGTTGGGACCAGCGGGTGTGACGACCAGGTTTCTGCCTCTTGGCTCTGTCGCCACGACTCTGGCTGGGCTCTCGGGTGGCTGCATCCCAGGAGCCCACGAGGGCCTGGGACTGGGCTGACTCCCAGACACTTGGGCATGGTGTCTGGATTCATCCTAAGGTGGGCTGTTGTCACCTCCTAAGGACAAGAGGACATTGCTGCTGGCCTGGGAACGCGACAGGAGGCTTTCAAAGCATGGCAGAAGTGGAATTTGCTGAGCTGGACTTGAAAGGAGTAAAGTGGGATCAGTGTGGGAAGATGTTGTAAATTGATCACAGTAATAACACTGTGTGCATCCTAGGCAGCAGCCCTGCTGTGTGGACAGGAAACCAGGCTCAGATTAAATGGTTTTCCCAGAGGCAGGGCCGGCTGTTCCACAGTAGGCTCGGTGCAGACCCCCACCCCCACCCCCACCCCCGGCAACAGCTCTGATGAAGGTTGAAGACGTGAACTCAGCCACAGAGGCCTGGGCTCACATCCTCATGAGGGGCTGGTGCTGCCTTGTCTCTAGCCATCTGAGACCTACAGGCCTGCGGAGTTAGAAAGTGCTTGGCAAACACCTACAGAAGTTGGTAGGTACAGGTGGTCAGAGTTGCTGGCCCCCCAGAGAGCTTCCAGCCCATTATACAGATGGGAACATCAAGACCTAGAAAAAAATGCCAAGAGTAAGAGTCGAGGCTGCTTCCCCTCGGAGCTGCCCGGCTCCCTGGCAGCAGGGCGAGGACCCCATATACAGGCTGCGCTGTCCTGCAGGATTTCGCTATCCGTGACTGTGTCCTGCCCTGCCGGCCAGGGGAGAATCCTTGCAGGTCACTACTTCCTCTCAAAGCCTCGGTGTAACTTGCCCAAAGCCCAGGCTGCCCAGTGAGCCACACACACTGACATGATTTATAGCTTTGTGCAAACTCCCTCATTGCTTTCATAGGAAGAAGCAAGATCTTCAGACATAAATGATGAATTCATTAAATTAAAAACACCCTTGACCTCCCCACAGCTGAGACAAGTAGCAATTCTCTCCCAAAGCACAACAATCATCTCCCGGATCTGCTTATTACCCCAGCCTGGCAATTTCTGATGGTACGACTTACTTACGGACATACTTGGGCTGCCTTTCAGCTTGGCAGTGACAGATGTTGGCCAGAGAAAACGGGCTTTTGTGTTAGGTATTCAAATGTTTTCGCTGGAAGGTTTCACACACTTAAAAGACAATGAATATATTTACCCAGGATATATTAATTTCCAATTATATTTAGTGTGCAGATGAACAGAAAATGAGAAGGGATGATCAGGGCCCACGGAAACAGCTGAGTCTCTGTCATGTTGCTGGTGGGGAGCTGTGCTGTGCACCTGTTTCACAGGACCCCATGGAGGCCCTTCCATGCCCAGAGTTCTTGTCCACCCATCCCTGTCTGGTAGAAGGCTGGCTCCAAGGCTCTGGGGCTGAGGGGAGCCACAGCTTCCACCAGCAGGGACCAGCACAGGGCCAGGTGCTCCCACAGGGCCTGGGCCTCTTTGACCCCAACTGTTGGACTCACAGCCTCGTCACCCAGCAAGGGGCCAGTCTAGTCCTGGGGCAGTGAGCCAACTACCACGCAGCTGCGAGCTAAATCAAAACTGGCTTCTGGTCTCCCCAGAGCAGTCAGCTCAGGGAAAGGTGGGCCTGCAGGCAACGCTCCATGCTGCCTCGGGTTTCATCTTCTGCGGCACAGGACAGTGAGCTGGGAGGACCCAGGGACCCCCTCGTCCTGCTCCCCCATTGCCCAGGACTCTGCAGGGCCCTTTGGGTGCTGCTGGCCTGGCTGCGCACCTTCAGTGTCGCCCGGCGAAAGGTGCTCAGGAACAGCTCTAAGATGTACTTGAGAGCCACCGTGGACAGAGAAGGAGCTCTCCATTCGGTGGTCCACTCTCCAAATGGCTGCAACAGCGCGGGCTGGGCCAGGCCAAAGCCAGGAGGCGAGAGGTGCTTCTGGTCTCCCACATGGATGCAGGGGCCCAAGTACGTGGGTCATCCTCTGCGGCTTTCTCAGGTGCCTCAGCCGGGAGCCGGATGAGTCGAGCCCTGAGATGAGAGGCCGGGAGCTCCCAGGGCTGGCCTAAATGAAAGCTGGCTGCTGAACCCCTCCGGAGTGCTGGGCAGGCGCTGGGCATCAGAGAGCCGGTGGGAGGGAGGGGCTTGAGCGCTGATGGAAACTTCCTGTGTCAGAGCAGATGCTACATAGGAGACTGAGCGCAAGCACCGAGAAAGGACGTCCGCAGGCCAGGAACTCCGGTTCAGAGCTGGAGCGATGAGACAGAACCAGCAGGGGCTGGGCAGAAGGGCCGCGAGGAGGGGTCATGGGCCATGTTGGATGCTGTGGGCCACCCGGGAGAGGAGGTCGTCGGTCAAGGTCAGCACGTGGTGGTGGCCGAGATATGGAGCAGTTCAGATGGAGCAGCGGACACAGCATCACTAGGGCGGTAGACAGAGGTGCCAGCCGCCAAGTGTGGGCAGTCCTTCCAGGTGCTTCCAAGGAGCAGAGTGGGGTACAGCTGGCCCAAGAAGAGGGGCCTCTCATTTTTAATTCTAGATAGAAGAAAAAGGTGTCTTATTGGACCAATAGGATCCATCTGCATAAAAGGGGATGTTGATGCGGGGCTGAGAGAGGTGTTGAGCCGCATCCAGGCAGCTGGGCATGAGCAGTGGGTGGAAGAATGAGCCAGGGCGTGGAGACTGGAAACCGGACAGTTTTCTGGCAAAATGGACATGAGGGTCGCACATCCCATCACGGAGTGAGGAATGAGGGGCCCCACTCAAGGCCGCGGGAAAAGCAGGGTCCTCGGAGAGCCCTGGCCTTCCAGGGGGAAGGGAGGGGCAAGGGCCACTCAGAACGGGTAAGAGACCTGGGAGGTTTTGCTGAGGATGGAACGTGAGTTCTGGAAGGCACAGTGAAGGAACCCCTAGGAGGTGGCTCGGAGGCCTTGGCGTCCTGGGGCCTGGCAGAGGACAGAGGTCGTGGGGACAGTGTTCCTCAGGATCCCCCAGTTGGCTGGGTCAAGACCAGGGGGAGATGGGGCATTAGAGACGGAGCAGGCGGAGGCCCGAGGCTTCAGTCCTGCTGGTGCAGGGATGGAGAGGAGGGGGAAGCTGTGTGGCCACCACCCCTCTGCTCCTGTGGCTTCTGCTCCAAGAGACTTGGAGGCTGTGTCAAAGCCCCTGCCAGCGGGGACTCTGGGCATTCCTGGGAGCCTGTTAGGAAGATGGGAATTCCCAGCCTCAGCCTGGCCTGTGACCTCAGACGCTGTGGGGGCCGGCCCCTGCCCTACCAAGCCCTGCAGGGGACTCAGAGGCCCGCTTGGCCAGGAGTCTGCTGTCTCCCTTCAAAGGTCACAGCTAGTATGCCCCTGGGGAGGAGACTTCTCGCAAGCCATTCTTTGAGTCCCTGGCTCCTGGGACAAAGCCCCCCAACAGCAAAAGGGCCAGCACCACAGGCATCAGGAATGTCAGTCCTTGCTGTGGGCAGAGGAAGGAGTGGAGCCTGCTCTCTGTTCTCAAGAGTTTCCTGGGTCCCTGTCCCCAGAACCCCCTCGGGAAGTGGCCGTCAGTCCCGAGGTTGAATTGACAGAGCTTTGCAACACTGATCACGCTGGCTGGTGCGGCACCTGGTGGGCACTCCTAAGCCTGCCCCCTCCCTGCTTTGCCGAGTTCGGCATTGCAGCACTTTGTAATGTCTACTGTAATGGCAGTCAGCTTCTCGGTTTTCAACACTGCCTTGATGGCACGTTGTTTTCTTCTGGATAAATTGAGAATTGTTTCGTTGAGCCCTGACCAACTGACGTTAATTAGACTAAATATATTTGGTTCAAATTGGAGTATGTTGGTTCTTATCCATGGTAGATCTCATCAGAGAAGGTCTCCTTCCAGCTGCTCCTGTCTTTAGTTAAGTTGCTAGTGAGGCTCTGCAGTTTTGTTCGCTTGGGCCCACTCTGCTTTCGTGTGGCCATTGCTGGGATGGTAGCACGCAGCGACGGTGTGCTCTGGGCCTGCCCCGTGGGCTGTGCTCTCATTAATCCTTACCACGTCGGGTTTGCTACCTAGAGAACACCCACAGCAAACAGCCTTCTCCATCTCGCTCATCTTTGCGTTTCTCATTAGTTGCCCCCCGTTGATGAAGTCTAGCAGAACCTGGCCGCCTCTCTTCCTTTTTCTTTTTCCTTTGTTCCTTACCTGCTGTTTGTCCGCTCTGAGAAGCATGCTGCCACTTCTTCTTTCCGTAGAGAGAGTCTTCATGGCAGGGAGAAAATATCATTCCACTCCTGCTTTATGGAAGCTTTTGCCCCAAGAAATGGATTTTGGATTTTTTTTCAAAGGCCCTTTCCGTGTCTAGCAGGAGGATTAAGTGGTTTTTCTCTTTGCCTGTAACTTTGCCTATAACTAATTATAGACTTCCTAATAGCTAGCCATTGAGACGTAGTACACTTGGTCACAGTGGATTCGCTTTGTTAATACTGCACTGAGGGGCCGGCGCCGTGGCTCAGTAGGCGCCGGCACCTGGGTTCTAGTCCCAGTCGGGGCGCCGGATTCTGTTCCCGGTTGCCCCTCTTCCAGGCCAGCTCTCTGCTGTGGCCAGGGAGTGCAGTGGAGGATGGCCCAAGTGCTTGGGCCCTGTACCCCATGGGAGACCAGGAGAAGCACCTGGCTCCTGCCTTCGGATCAGTGCGGTGCGCCTGCCTCAGCTCTCGGGGCTTTGGTGTCCTGCTTACACCAGCTTGGTCATGAAATCTGGAACACCTCTGTGCTCCACTCCAGCACAGCACACGCGCACACACACATACACACACACACACACCCTTCAGCGTGCAGAGAAGCTCTCCAATAAAACTAACCAGACAGACTGGCTTTGGGGTTGGCAGCACTTTACATTGTTAAAATAATCTCTTCTCAAGTTGGTGTTGATACTTTAAAGTTTGTTTTTAAATGATCTGGTCGTTGAGATTTGTGCATTACTCATTACTGAATGACTATAGTATTTCTTTTTTTAATTTTATCTGTTAATTCTTTTTTTCCATTGATCAAATCTTCCAAAAGCCTAGGTGTTTTATTCAAGGTTTTTAAAGTCTGCTGTTAGATTCACTTATCAGTTACACTGCTATTTGCCTTTCTAATTAATTCCTCTTTTTTAAAAGTGTGAAAGGCGGAGAAAGCAAGCTTCCATCCACTGGTTCACAACAGCTGGGACAGGGCCGGGATGAAGCCAGGAACCTGGAACCTCATCCGGGTCTCCCGCATGGGTGGCAGGGATCCCAAGTACTTGAGCCATCTTCTGCTGCTTTCCCAGATGCAATAGCAGGGAGCTGTTTGGAAGCAGTGTGGCCGGGAGTCAAGCCAACAGTCCAGCATGGGATGCAGGAGGCAGCCTAGCCCACTGTGCAGTCATGCCCGTCTCATGCAAGAGTTTCTGCCCCTATCTATCTGCCCACCCCCACCCCCACCTTACTTGAGGTTACTTTGCGCTTGTTAGACAGGCGCATGAAAATCAGAGTGGTGGGCAGGAGAGCAGGGGCTCAGGCTGGCCGGCGCCTGGCCTCCCGTTGCTGCGTCGCCTTCCCGGCCCTGTCCTGGCCCCCAGGACACTCCCACTTCTGCTGACACTCGTTCAGCATGAACCCCATTCTTGCCTCTGCCAGATGCTGGGTGTGAGGAAGCTGCTTTCCTCTTTGAACTAAGGGGATCGGAGAAGGGAGACACACGGTATGTTCTAAGCCATCTTCCAGAAAAGCGTCCGCCAGGCCCTTCTTCCTCCCACACCCCCAGCCAGGACCCTGCCCGAGAGCCTGGAACACAGAGAAACTGGGGGACGACTCTGGCGTGCGCTGTGCCTGGGTCCCTGTGCAGGTGCCGTAGGAAACCCGGAGCTCGTGATCCTGGGACAGCTCCGGCCGTGAGGGTGCAGTGGTTTCTTTGCCTTTTTTCATTTGGCTTTCACGTCTGCTCCTGGCTTTGCCCCAGAAGTCAGCCAAGGGAAGACTGAAGCTCGGAATGCGCTGAGGAGATTGTTAGCGTGCGCTGAAGAATTTTGGTGGAAATTGGAGAGTCCACTTCTGCCCTCGGTCTATCCACGCACAGGTCACTGGCGTTTGGCCTTGCTCTGGCCCTGGGCTCCTCTACCTAAATGTCAGTTCGTTCTGTGCGCTGATCCCAAGGATGATCTGTGCTTCCCTAAGGTCCTGGGACTCTTAATTGGACAACAGAGGTTTTAAGATAACCCTGGGAAAATGCACAAGGGTGCCCTAGCTGTTCATGGAAAATACACACTCTTCATCACGTTTTTCCATGAACTTCTTGAAGCACCCTTGGAAATGTGCACTTCCTGAAGAATCCATTTCCCCTCTTTCCAAAGGGGGTGTGATGCTTTTGTTTAATACCCAGGTGTGTAAGCTGCCACCGATCCTCTTCTAGGAAGTCCGTGGATATGGCGCGTGGATGAGTAAAAGCCCGCTGAGAATGACCCAAGCACGCACAATCACACACACACACACACACACACCCCACCCCCCGGGGCGCAGAGCCAGGGCCAGGAGGGAGGAGCTGCGGTGAAGGGCCAGTGCGCTGTGCAGGGGACAGAGCCTTCCTCGCTTGGACTCACCTGGCAGATGGGCCAGGTCGCTCAGACCCTCCGACCCTGGTTGGACTGCCAGCACCCCTGGCTGAGTCCGCCCACCCGTTAGGGGTTGGAAATGCGGAGGCTTCCAGAGGGGGCGCCGGTGGGTGCTCGGGGCACTTACTCTGTGAAGCTTCCTCTACAAGAAGTTAGGGCCTGCCCGGTGGTTTTCTGTGAGAGGGATCACACAGCTGACCCTGATCTGTTCAGAAACACTTCTGCGGCCGCTGCTCTGTACACGCAGCATCAGAACAGCCACACGCCTGAGAGCTCCCGGACAAAGCCGTGACTCGCATGGCACAGAGCCTGGTGTGCTTACTGCCCGCGAGGCGGCTCACAGCCCGCGCGTTAGCGCTTGCACCGTGGGAGAGGCTAGAGGATCGCTGTGAACCAGCCAGCGGTTCACATCCCCAGGGCCGCCTCCCGGCCCCGCCCTTCAGGAGCAGGGGCTCTGGGTGGGGCCCGAAGCCAGTGGGGGCCTTCTCTTAGCACGCTCCTTCTCACCCGCAGTGCCGCCGGTCATCCGCGTCTATCCCGAGACCCAAGCCCAGGAGCCCGGGGTGGCCGCCAGCCTGCGATGCCACGCAGAGGGCATCCCCATGCCCAGAATCACTTGGCTGAAAAACGGCATGGATGTCTCGGCCCAGCTGTCCAAGCAGCTCTCGCTTTTAGGTAAGAACCGGCCTTGCTTCCCGGGGGCAGTTCCCCTCCGGTTCCCACCGGCCCCTCCCCCAGGAATGGAAACAAGAATGCTGCTTCAGCCTAAGTCAGGTGTATCCTCAGGTCAGATACACCGCAGGTCTTCCCGTTCGCTCCGAGATCTGGGCTTCCCGAGGGCGCTGGTCTGCCCGTTCCCACCCCCTCCCCGCCCAGCGCGTTTCAGGGGAGCACAGTTTCAGGAGTGTGTCTTATGTCTCCCACGCTTAGTGGTCCCATGAAGGGAATGGGGAGGAGGTAGAGGGTGGTTTCCAACCAGGCAGGACCCCCTGAGCCCTGTGCTTCCTGCAGCCAATGGGAGCGAACTCCACATTGGCAGCGTTCGGTATGAGGACACGGGGGCGTACACCTGCATTGCCAAGAACGAGGTGGGTGTGGACGAAGACATCTCCTCGCTCTTCATCGAAGACTCGGCCAGGAAGACCCGTGAGTCCACTCTTGCCTTAGGTTCCCCCTCCCCCTGCCCCACCGCTGGGGCTGTTGGGAGGCCAGGGAGGGCACTGGGTAATGAGGGTCTGGTAGACCCTGTGTGCTCCGGGCATACAGATGGGCGCAGAGGGCACCCAGCGGTCAGGAAACCATCCCCAGAACCTGGACAGTTCTGGAAATCCCTGGACAGCAGACAGAACTGAGGTCCAGAAGGAAACTCAGGTACCCCAGCCCTGCTCCTGCTTCCTGCTTAACCACCCAAGGGCACTTGAGACAGCCTGTGAGAAATGGAATGGAAAAATGTTTCTCTTGGTGCCCAAAACTCTGAAATGCATGCACAGTTTTTCTTCACACATTTTCTGTGAACTTCATACAGCGTTTGATATTCTGCAAGGTTTCAGACCTCTACTGGGGCCCAGGAACATATCCCCTGCGGATCAGGGGGTCCTGCGCATGCACACCACCGGGAGAGTGGTCACCTGATCCCAAGCAGTAGCTCACCAAGCATGCTCTCCCTGAGAGCTGCTACTCCCCAGGTGGGCAGGCCAGTGTGGCTTCGTGGCCACAGGGGTTGGTCTCCGTCTCCTTCCCTTGGTCATAGACTCCAGCTGAAATTGTGTCATCAAAGGAGATAATCAGAAGCGTTTATTTCACTTGGCCCTCCCTGGAGAATCCCAGTCAAAAACCCATTCTGGCTGTGTTCCAGGAAATCTGGGCGAGACCTCGCTCCCTCCCCCGTCACCCACAGTGTGTGGCGAACGCCATGAGCTTCTGTAACGTGGGGACCTAGTGGCACAGATTGACTTAGGACCTGAGGGGTCCCGAGACCAAGCAGCATTTGTGCGTGCCCGGGGTCCCCAGAGCCTGTGGCTGGGCAGTGAGTGGTGCCCGCTCTGTAAGCGATGAACTGGGTCCTCGTGTGCTCACGACGGATCACTGCATGATCTGACATTGCTTTCCTCTTCTCTCCTCCTCCAATCTCCCTCCTGCTCCCTTAATTCCCTGCTGCCGTGGACGGCCGCCGCAGTGGCCAACATTCTGTGGCGAGAGGAAGGTAGAGGACCGAATTGCTCTGTGTTTTGTGCCTGTGTTCATGTGCTGGGGCTCCCTGGTGGGCTGTCTCTGGGTGAGCTGCTGTCCACTTCTGCAGGCACCAGACCACCCTCACCAGCAGGGCCCAGGCTCCAAATCAGGTGGGAGGTCAGAATCACGCGCATGGACTCAGAGGTACAGCCTGTCCAGAGCGGGCGTAATGGCGGCCGAGATACGTCCAGTTTCCATCAGAAGCCGCTCAGAGCACGTGCGGGTGTGCCCGGTCACATCTGGATCTCATGCTTTTTCTGAGAAGTTGATGTTGGCATTGGGTTTAGTGTTTGGCTTAATGTAGATCTCCGCTAGATAGTAGCTGTACCGTAAGTGAGCGCTGGTCAAGGAAATGTTGATGATTTCTATCAGTGTGTATTTTTCAGTGCATATAGATCTTTCAAAAATTTATCCAACAAACCTTAAGATACTAGGTTGAGTCATATGAAACTGTCATTGTACCTCAGAAGTGGTCTAGCCTTGACAGTTCTACATGGTTCAAAAATAGCGTGCATGCGAGGTACGGAGGGAGTGAGCCACTCGCTGCTGGGTGGCACAGGGTCCTCATCCTGCACCTGTCCCTCTGGTCCCAGGCCAGGTCACTTCAGGATTCCTTAGGCTCCCACGCAGTGGGCAAAACTCGGGTATGGGAAGCAGTGGAAGGCACCGTGTGTTAGCATCAAGCACAGCCTCCCTCTCTTGGGAAACAAGGCTGTTTCCTGTGTGGGAGCCCCGCTGTGTGGTGTGACCTGCAGCTGTGGGGTCCCGCTCACCCACACAAGACCCTGGCACAGCTGCACCAGATTGGCCAGGGCGGCTGCCAGCAGGTTCCATCCCATGAGGGGCAGCTCCGTGCTTGCAGCCTTCACACCAGAAACTCGAGACCTAGTGACAGGGACCACAGGAGCCCAAAGGAAGGGGCCCGTGGGCCTCAGGACACACTGGCACCTCACTGGGAGAAAGGAGACCAGAGCACCAAGCCGCAACAGTTTCTGACTGTGTGTTGAGCCTCACGGGGCAGGGTCCACTGCGTGCAGGGCCCCGTGCGCAGCCTGAGAGTCGCCTGCTGCTACAAACCCCGTGTGGACTCTGTTAGGCCTTCAATCTTTTGTTAAGATTTAATTTGGAGGCAAGTTTACAGAGAAAGGAGAGACAGAGAGAGGGGGGTCTTCCATCTGCTGGTTGACTCCCCAGGTGACTGCAACAGCTGCAGGTGGGCTGATATGAGCCAGGAGCTTTCTCCGGGCCTCCCACGTGGGTACAAGGCCCAAACACTTGGGCCATCAGCAGGGAGCTGGATTGGAAGAGGAGCAGCTGGGACACAAACTGGTGCCCATACAGGATGCCGGTGTCACAGGCTGAGGCTTAGCCTACTCTGCCACAGCACCAGCCCCAGAGCTTTCAATCTTAGGTTGGTTCTTCCTGCTCATGCTTTCCTGAGAAGCCCCTTAAAGGGGCCGTTCCGGGGGCCTGTGGCAGGGAGGTGAGCAGAAGCAGGTGCCAAGCAGGTGAAAGCAAGAGCAGGTGAGAGCACTTGTAGGCAGCCAGCGTCTGCCTGGCACCCCAGGGTTCCCCAGGGCGTGCATGTGGGCTCTCCCCTGGCATCAGCAGCTTCCGAGGAGCTGCTACCAGTACCAAGAGCTCTGCGGCCCAGAGCTGCTTTGAGCAAGACGCTGCAGCCCGCTAGGTCGGATCACGGGCGCCTCCCACAGTAGCCTTCCTCTCACCAAGGGCCGCCGGCTCAGAAAACCCCCTACGGGCTGGCGCCATGGCTCACTAGGCTAATCCTCCGCCTGCGGCGCCAGCACACTGGGTTCTAGTCCCGGTCGGGGCGCTGTATTCTGTCCCGGTTGCCCCTCTTCCAGGCCAGCTCTCTGCTGTGGCCCGGGAGTGCAGTGGAGGATGGCCCAAGTGCTTGGGCCCTGCACCCCATGGGAGACCGGGAGAAGCACCTGGCTCCTGCCATCGGATCAGCACGGTGCACCGGCCACAGCGGCCATTGGAGGGTGAACCAATGGCAAAAGGAAGACCTTTCTCTCTGTCTCTCTCACTGTCCACTCTGCCTGTCAAAAAAAATAAAACAAGAAAAGAAAACCCCCTGCAGAGCACTGCAAGGAAGCAACCTCCCAGCTCACTGTTTTCTGGCTCCTCACAGAGGCGTGTGCATAGTCAGCTGCCCCAGAACACAGGGCTTGTCCCTGTGCAGGACAGAGTTTGCTGTGCACAGTCAACCTCTGCATGTGACTCAGCCACCCACAGATGGAAACAGCTGAGGAGAAAGGGGTACATGGACAGGCTTTACTGTGGGGAGCAGCTCGGACTAGACTGAGTTACTGGAATTAAGACTTATTCTATGCATCTGCTCTCCCACTGTGGGGAGCAAACCGGACTAGACTGAGTTACTGGAATTAAGACTTATTCTATGCATCTGCTCTCCCACAATATGGCGCTGGGAGAGAAGTAAACAGCTTCCGCACAGCTGCCTCTCACCAACTTGACAAGCTGCAGGACTTGCTACTGATTGGAGGAGAGCAGCGTACTCGGCGTGTGGGCAGCCGAGTTGGGATTGGCGGAGGACTATAAAGGAGGAGAGAGACGGCATGCACCAGGAACATCTATGGGGAACATCTAGCTGAAGGAACACCTGTGCAGCCCCCGAGAGAACCGGCCGGCGGTGTGCCGCTCCCCTGCGGAAGTGGGGAATGCGGCCAGGGGGAACTGCCCTTCCACGGAGGTGGAAGGGATAGTAGCCAACCCGGGAAGAACCAGCAGCAAACCCGGGGAGGGCCGAGCAGACGAAAGAACAGCGCAGGGTCCTGTGTCGTTCCTCCACGAAGAGGGGGAGCGACACTTTACCACCTGTCATTTGCCGTAACCAATACAGCATAGCAACTGTTGACACTCGTGCATTGCATTAGGTGTCATTAGCAACCCAGAGATGATTTAGTTAGAGGAAAATGTGTGTGCCATGCAAGCCTTGTGCCACTCATTCTAGGGCCTTGAGAATCTGCAGATTTGGGTATGCATAGGCTTTCTACTACTGTAAGAAAGGGCTTGAGAAAATCCGTAGGAAATGGAATTAAAAGGTCAGTTTGTTTTGGTGCAAAGACTTGGAAATCCAGTGCATAAGAAGGGTTTTCCAAAAGGTCGTGAGACAAATGTATTGTGAAAAAAACTATGCATGGATCTCAAAACTGGGGGCATCAGAATAAACCTATTGTAATTCCACTTCCCTGGAACTCTTTCAAGTACCCTCCTAAGCAAGCTTCTTGGGTTTTATAGACATCTTGATGTTGTAGCTTTAAAGAAACAAACAGAGGGAGAGGAAGGGAGAACTTGGACCTGATTCATCTTCGTGTCACTGTCCCCTCTTCATGGAGAGACAGCAGGTGGCGGCCAGAGGCAGGGCTCAGGGTCCAACCCCAGCTCTGGCACAAAGGCAGGTAGCCTGAGCCAGGCCCCAGTCAATTTAGATGAAGGCTGCATTTGGTCTACAAGGCCCCCTTTCCCTAGACAGCCGCAGCCACAGAAATGGATGGGGCAGAAGTGGGCACAAGTGGCTGGAGGGAGGTGCCGACAGGCCAGGGCCAAGCTGGCCTATTCCTAGGAGTGGCCTCGTGTGGTCAGAAGTCAGAGCCTCGGCTGTTGGGGCGCGGTCTGGTCCGTGTGACCTGATGTGCAGATGTTCCTCTCAGAACGGCACCAAAGGACTGTGGGAACTAAGGGAGAGACCAGCCCTGGAGGCCTTGGGGCTGCTGTGTGTGAGTGCCTGGGACTGCAGGGCGGAGCTATGCTTGATGAATTTTGAGGCACCTGCTCCCCGTGCCCTTGAACGCCATCAGGCCTCCTGCTGCCCTACCTGGCCCCGCCAAGGCCAGGTGATGCACTGGGTCCCTGCAGCACAGGTTTCCACGTCGCTGGTTCCGTGCATGTTCTGTGTTGTACGTGACCTTGTCTACAGCGAGGCCCCTGGGAGGGGTGTGACCACGCTGTGTTCCCTCCAGGCCTCAGCGTGGGAAACATGTTCTACGTCTTCTCCGATGACGGCATCGTGGTGGTCCACCCTGTGGACTGCGAGGTCCAGCGGCACCTCAAACCCACCGAGAAGATCTTCATGGACTTGGTAAGTTTCTGTGGCCTGGGCAGCCTCAACATCACACACAGACAGGATCCTGAAAGGGAGTCCTCAACCCTGTGTGCCACGGGATCGCTTAATTCCGCTTGCTCTTTGGGGTCTCGTATTTTTCACAGCGAAGAGAGGGATGGAGGCTGAGAACTTAACCCTCCCCTCCTTCACTCAGCAGCCACTCACGTGTGCTGAGCCCTCAGACGGGCCAGGGTGTGGAGGTGGGTTCCCACGCAAAGGCAGAAGGTCCCATTGCAGGCAGAGTGGGAGACCCAGCATTCCTACCTCCAGGCCCAGGCCTCTCTTCCCACTTGGCCCCGCGGGATACTCTGAGCTTGGGACTGTGGCACTGAACCCCAGAGGTCATCTGACCCTCCACGTGGCTCCCCCTTGGGGGTGCACACCACGTGTCCTCGGGGACCGTGAGGGGCAGGGCCCAGCGCATCCCACCACGGGCGTGTTGCAGGCTGCCGTGCATCCCCGGCTGTCGCTCTTCTTCCCTGTGTGGATTAGGCGCCTTCATGGGAATGAATGAATGATTAGAAGTGTTGCTTCTTAGGAGTTTTCCTTCCATGTAGGCGCCCTGACACCAGTTACAAACAGTGGTCCCAGATAATTTCTTGCTGTTAAATAATTGCACTGTCACCTGGGCACTAATCTACCATCTATTTGCAATAACCTAACCAATAGCTTGGCAAAGAGCTCTCAGATGGTAACGAGTATGCAGTTTTCCTGGGTAAGAGGCTAAATGGGACACAGTGAAACAGGGCCTGAAGGTGTCTCAGCACAACTCCACGGTGTGAGCCCCAGGATCAGGCAGACCCCGAATCAGAGCCCGCCTCCCTCACGCAGGAGGATAAGTGACGTTGGAAAAGTGAGCTAACCCTCTGAGCCTCAGCTTCTCCTGTTCCACAGCAGGACTAGCTGGGGAAGAGGGGTGGGGCCCGTTTGCAAACGTCTAGGCCGTGGACGTAGAGGTTTAGGAGAGGGGTCCAGGATCCCTTCCTGACGACTCCATGTGGAGAAGCCGCAGTCACAGTTGGCACTCATGCTTTGGACGTGGCCAACCCGAGGGTGCTGGGGACCAGGAGTCGGGGACAGCTGGGTGTGGTGGCTGTGAGAGAGCAGGGGCGGAGCTGGAGGAGGTCTGAGCTGCAGACCCAGGCCTGGGGTCCAGCAGACTGTGAGTGCTGGGGACCACCCACAGGTGGGAGGAAGGGGTTCTGGAGATTCACGGCAGTCTCTGTCCCCCACAGGAAGAAATCTGCCCCCAAGTGGCAGGAGAGGGCACGGCACCGTGCCAGTGGGCGTCAGCAGTGAACGTCCGGAACCGCTACATCTACGCGGCACAGCCAGCACTGGGCAGAGTCCTCGTGCTGGACGTCCACGCCCAGAAAGTTCTGCAGGTACCCCCGGGCCCCGCCCCCACGCCCCACTTGAGCTGGTGGTCAGGGAAGAGGGAGAGGCGCTGGCTGACTGCTCCCACACGGCTCTGTACCAGTGCAGACCCTAGAGCTGCGAGGCTGGTCGGGGACGCAGCCCCCAAGTCTGTCTTCAGGGGCTGCAGGTAGGATGAGGAGCCACTGGGAAGGCGACAGGGGCTCTGCAGGTCTGTAGTTGACCCTCACTCCAGAGGCCAGAGTCGGAGCTCGTGGTGCCAGGCAGGAGGCAATCGGAGAAGGTGGCGCTTGCAGGGACGCTGAGTGGGCCATGGCACGTGTGTGTTAAGGAGCCCGAGACCTGCCCTTGGGATGTGGTACCCCCAAGTCACAGAGCAGCCGGCAGGAACAGGATGAGGACAGGGAACCCGAGCCTGCTAGACTGGATCGGAGTTAAAGGGCAGCAGAGGGAGAGAGAAGGTGGCCCACGGGGGGGTGGGGGTGGGGGGTAGTCCGGCTGCAAAGGTGACAGCCGGCAGTCAGGAGGAGGGGCCGTGACAGCGCGTGTATGCTGATGGGCTGATTCCCAGGATTCCCTTCTCCGCTGCCAGGAGGCCGTGGTCTCCGCCTGCCTTAGACAGACACATTGTTTCATTGTATCGGGAGGAAAGAGGTGATCATTACCTGAGACTCTGTCCTGCTTGCTTTATTTGCTCAGTGAAATGAGAATTAGCACAGAACCTGGCAAGTTGAACGTGAGGCTGACTTGGCAGCCCGCGGGAGGGATCCGCGGGTGACAGTGGGAACCACACGAGGCTGGGGACTGGCAGTGCGGCCAGGCGCAGGGCGAGGCCGAGCATTCCTGGTGCGAGCCCATCGCGTGAAGTTGTCCCAGCAAATAGGACAGATTTTTCTTTTCACCAACTCCAGCCGGAGAACATACTCCGAACAGGTTGAATCCTTTGAAGTTTACTGATGCTTGCCTTAGACTGCGCCTGTGACAGTCTGGCGCGTGGTGCACATGCATGTTAAAGGGGCGTGCGATCCTGACACGGGAGGTGGCAGGTTCTGCACACACGCAGAGATGTCAGATCGCCTCACGCGCCGAGTGACGGTTTGGGTCTGCCTAGCAACACTGCTCAGAGGCGTTGAAGTCTTCCACAGTTACTCAGAAGTCATCTGTGTTTCCAAACTTCTGTCTCCTGCTCCTTTAAGGCAATAACGCATTCTGCGTAGACTGCTTTATTCCTGGGAAGTGCGCCTCTACCGAGGCTTCTGCCAGGTGTTCTCCTGGTATAATTTTCCCTTCCTTGCTCTGACCTTTAACTCCATGTAGCTTTATCAAAACACTTATACAACTCAAATTTATTTCCTGCTTTATTAATCTTCATATTTTGCTTGGAAATTCTGATGTGCTGATATGTAATATAATTAGATTTGAGTTGTATCTGACACCTTAGTATTTTTATTTGACCTACCTGTTTATGTTGCTTTTTCTTTCTGCTTTCTTTTGGATTTATCCAATTTATACATACTCCCTCACGGAAGATCGCTTCTCTGTATTGTTTTAAACAGGACAGAGATCACAGCTTGCATCCATGGATCAGTGCAGTCTCCTATAAACTGCTACCTCACTTCTCAGTCATGCCGGAACCTGCGCCCACTCCAACTCTTCACCTTCCTCTTGCCTTTGGTTTTACTGTGGTAGTGAATTTGATTCTCTGTATAATTTAACCACTTAAGATATTACTATGACAAGGCAATACTAATTGATATTTACCTTTTCCATTTTTCTGAATTCTGGGAACATTTTTTAACACTTTTATTTGAAAGTCAGAGTTACACAGAGAGAGAAGGAGAGGCAGAGAGAGACAGAGAGAGGTGTTTCATTTGCTGATTCACTCTCCAGATGGTCACAATGGCCAGAGCTGCTTCTGGGTCTCCCACGTGAGTGCAGGGGCCCAAGGACTTGGGCCATCGCCTATTGCTTTCCCAGGTCATAGCAGAGAGCTGGATGGGAAGTGGAGCAGCCAGGTCTTGAACCAGCACCCATATGGGATGCTGGCACTGCAGGCAGCGGCTTTACCCACTAAGCCACAGCACCGGCCCCCTTAACACTTTTTTTAGTAATGCAGTGTTTTTATTTCTGAAGGCTGTCTTCTCATGGGATGTAATTACAGATGGCTTCGTCTTCGTAGGTCAGACAACTGCCAGTCTCACCGTTGCTCTTGTGAAAGTACCGCGTCCATTTTTTTTCTGTCACCTTTTCACATTTTCCGTTTGGTGTTCAGCAGCTGAACAGGAGCACGCCTGGGTATGGTGTTCTTTGTGTTCGTTCTGGTTTGGGGTTTGCAGAGGCTCTGAAAGACATGGATCGGCATCTTTAATCACAAGGATAATTTTTCAGCCATCATTTCTTCAATCAATCCACTACCTTTTCTTCTCTTTAAAAGTGAGATCTTCCAGCTTGATCCTCTTCCGTGTGTTCTATCTCTCTGTTAATCCTGTCTTCTGTTGTGTCTAATAGAGGTTCAACAAAAACCTATTTATTGAGTTTATTTCAGGTACTTCACTTCTGAAACTTACACTCCATTCCCTCTACTATATGTAAATTCTTTTTATGAACCACGGGTGGATCTGTTTCCATTGTCTTTCTGATGTTAGTTTCGGTCCTATCATCTGCCTCTTGAAATCCCTACTATTCTTGAATGGCCAGCAGTCTATACACAGAGACGTAATGGCTGTGATCCACCAGAGAGGGCACCCTTCCCCTGCTCGGCCTAGAGTAGGGAGCCAATCACGTTCGTCTCACCTGGGCCCAAGTGGGGCTTCTGTGAGGTTCCCTGTGCCTCCGATTCAGCCCTAATCCTGAGGCTTTTAACTGAGGTCCTGGTGTGTTCCCCTGGGTGTCCCCTGCGTCTCTGCCTGACTGTAGCTTTCTCCTTCAGCACAGTGAGAGCGTGTTAAAATCTGTTGAGAGTCTAAGAGGTTTTTGGTAAAGTTCTCAGAGCCTGCTGCTCCACACCCTCTCGGAATGAGAATCCAGAACCCAGGAGGAGAGACAGTGGCCGCATGCAAGCTGCAGGGAGCTGGGCTGTGAAGAGGGCAGACTCGGGCGGGGCTCGAGAGAGCGTGCAGGTGAAGAAGCTGCAGAGGAAGCAAGTGCGGGGCTGGGCCGGCAGCTCTCGGCGGAGGAGGACAGCGTCGGGGCTGACGTCTTCCCTTCGTGGGCGCCTTCGAGGAAACCAGAGGCAGCCGCTGCTCGAGGCTTCGGGGCACAGGAGCCTTCATTAGAGCAAGAAAGCAAGGGCAGCCTCGCAGCAGGGAGCAAGAGTGGGCACAGGCAAGGGTCAGCGCGTCTTCTCAGTGAGGTCACTGACAGACGGGTACATGCTAGAGCTATGTAGGAGCCAGGGCACTGGATAGCTCACCCGTCCCAGGGCAGAATTCAGGATGAAGGGGAGAAGCCCAGAGAATAGTTACCCACGGGCACTGGCCCAGAGATGCCGAGAGGAGGACCAGCCAGGGAGATGCACTGAAAGGTGCGATAGGGGCGGACAGAGGGTGGCGGAGGTGAGAGGAGGACAAGGTGCCAAAAACCCGCTCTCTGCTGAGCGGACAACTCCGAGCCTCACGTGCAGGCCTCTGCGCAGCTGCTCTGGGCCCTTTAACACATGCAAGCAAAGAAGTCTTTAAAGGGATCACATTCATGACAAGCACGTTTGTGTTTCTGGGGACAAAGCCACACAGCAGGCCGCGATCCTGGGTTCCCACGCAGCAGCGTTGACTCCCAGGGTGGGTCACCATGAAATGCAATCCCATCAGCGTCCCAACAGTGATGACAACTTGTCACTACTGTTTTTCAAGTCCATAGGTGTGGACCCTCTGCCGACGAAGCTGGTGTACGACAAGTCACATGACCAGGTGTGGGTGCTGAGCCGGGGAGACACACACAAGTCCCAGCCGAGCCTCCAGGTATGTGGAACACGCGGAGCCTGATATCCAGCCCCCCATAAAAGGCCCTCTCCCTAAGAGGTTATGGTCTCGCATCCGCCTGGGTGGTGAATGACAGGCACCCAAAGAAAGTCCATGAGGCTCAAGAACACAGTAGGACACGGCCGCCAGCGATACCACCACCACCACCACCACCCCCCCCCCGGGCAAGCAGCGGATGGAGGCTAGCTGGTCGTGAGGGATAGGGTTCTCCTATCACAGCAAGCAGCAGGTGCCACCCGCCCCGGAATACCGGCCTCTGCCGAGCGCCCGCAATAAGGCCCGGGGCCCAGACGGGACAGGGAGACAGCTCCTGCGTCTGTGCTGGGGGAGGCTGGAGGAACTTCTCAATGCAAGCGCAGATGCTGCCGGCCAGTGAAGACACACAAGGAGAAGCAGCCCAGCACTGCTGTCCATGAACAAAGCACACTGATTGCCTTAGCGCCCCAGGGTGCTAAGACACAGAAGGGCATCAGCCCAGGGTCCCACGCCCGCGGTGTGGCCGTGGAGCCTGAGCATTTGTCCCCGCGCTGTAGCACCTCTTGGGAAGAGCCTGGGCGGTGGGCTTCCTCCCTCACCAGGCGGGGGAGGTCAACCCCAGCCCTGGCCTGGGTGTGCCTGCTGCACTCTGCTCAGCGGGGAGGCAGTGCTGTGACCTGGGTGCCGGAGCTCCTCCCCCCAGAGACGGCGCCTGAGCCTCTTCTAGACCCGCGTGAGACAGGGTCAGCTGCTCGGGCCCTCACAGCCCAGGCCATGAGAACTGCAGGCGGAGCCAGCCTGCCCTCATCGCATGACTGGTGGGTGTCCCCGAAGACCGGGTCTGCTCCCCCCTGCCCTCCCACTGCTGCCCCGGAGCAAGAACACTGCCGGCCATCACTCAGGGGCAAGGTCAAGTTGCAACCCCCCTGTGATGCCAATCCACCAGGAAGAGGGTCGGTCAGAACGACCAGCAGAAGACCCTAAGGAAGCACTAAGGGAATCGCCAGAGAAACCACCAGGCCTTCAGTAATGAACTGAGACACCACCACCACCCCCCCCCCCCCCGGCGAGATCCCAGGAATAAACCAGAAGTCGCCGTAGAGGCTCGGGGAGACGGAACAGCAGCAGAAACGGTCAGCTCGGCACCGACGCCTCACCTGCAGCAGCAGCTGGAAGCCCAGGACCCGGATCCCCGCCGTGCTCAGCAGGGCTGGACCGTGACAGCGGCCCCCCTGCAGGAACCCGGGGAGTGCCGCAGAGGTGCAGCACCAACACCGGGTGAACCCCATCAGCCAGCAGCGGGAGAAAGAGAGAAACATCTAAAATCAGAAGTAAAACCGGCGGGGAGAGGGCGCCTGGAGGAGCATGGGTGTGACAGAGGACGTCTGCATGGGGAGAGGGCAGCAGCCGAAGCCTGACCCCAGCCTTCAAGGGGACGAGCCCTGCAGGGAGAGGAGGGAGGAGAAGAGGGGGAAGGTGGGAAACTATGCGAAGCCCACTCCTGACTCCAGTGGAACAAACTGGATTGTCTGATTAAGACCGGAGACAGGGAGGGCAGCGTTTGGACGCCCGGGTCCCACACAGGAGGACCTCGTCACCCTCGCCTTCCGCTCAGGCGGACCCTGAGAGGCAGCAGTGATGGCCGCCCACGGGCACCGCCGGCTCCTGGCTTCAGCCCAGTCTGGTCTCGGCCACAATAAACACTTAGGGAGGCAAACTGCAGGGGGGATGTCTCCCTGTCTTTCTATACTTCAGGAAAAAAAAATTTTTCTTTAAAATCAGATTATCAAATTGATTTTTATAACAGAGTTACCGAGAGAGGTCTTCCATCCCTCCACTGCTGGGTCACTCCCCCGATGGCCGAGCTACGCCAATCTGAAGCCAGGAGCTTCTTCCTGGTCTCCCACGCGGGTGCAGGGGCCCAAGGACTTGGGCCATCTTCCACTGCTTTCCCAAGCCATAGCAGGGAGCTGGATTGGAAGTGGAGCAGCCGGGACTAGAACCGGCGCCCATATGGAATGCCAGCACTGCAGGCCAGGGCTTCAACCCACTGCGCCACAGCGTTGGCACCGATACATGATTACTAACAAATATCAGACAAGGTGGATTTAAGGTTAAAAGCAGGGGGCCTGTGTTGTGGCACAGCCTACAATGCCGGGATCACTTGGAGACGCTGGTTCGTGTCCTGGCTGCTCAGCTTCCTGCCCAGCTCCCTCCTAGTGGCCTGGGAAAAGCAGAAGACATCCTAAGTGCTTGGGCCTGGCCCAGCTGTGGCTGTTGAGACCATCATGAGAGAAAACCAGCAGGTAGAAGATCTCTCTCAATCTGTCTCTGCTCTAACTCTTTCAAATAATTAAGTGGTCTCTAAAAAAAAAAAAGGCAGTAAACAGGCACCATACATAAATCTGTAATGATGAAATATCAAAAAACTAGGTTAAAAAAAACTTGATCAAGAAAATACTCAAATTATACACATCAAGGAGATAAAATCATGACATGGCAAAACTAAACAAGCTTAGTTTGATAAATATATAGAAAATCATTCATGAAGTATTTTCATGTAAATTTACATGCCATGGGCTATGTCAATAAATAATTGTGACTTAATAATTCTCGTGGATCAAAAGGGAAACTATAGGGGCCAGTGCTCACTGTGGCGTAGCGGGTAAAGCCCTGGGCTGAAGCACCGGCATCCCATAGGGGCACCAGATCAAGTCCTGGCTGCTCCACTTCTGATCCAGCTCTCTGCTATGGCCTGGGAAAGCAGTGGAAGATGGCCCAAGTCCTTGGGCTTCTGCACCTGGCACCCCTATGGGAGACTTGGAAGAAGCTCCTGGCTTCAAATCAGCCCAGCTCCGGCCGTTGGGGCCATTGGGGGAGCGAACCATCAGATGGAAGCCCCCTCCTTCTCTCTCTCTCCCTCCCTCCCCTCTCTCTGTGTAACTCTGACTTTCAAATAAATTTTTATAGTGTTTTTAGACTATTTCACCTCAAAATCAGTGGGACACAGAGAAAGCTGTACACAGAACATTTGCGTTCAGAAATGAGAAAAAGAACGAGATGTCCAGAAGGAGTTAAGACAAACTAATCGAAAACAAAACCAGAAAATGAGGTCAGCTGCTCCCACCCTCGGTCAAGAGCAGAGAATGAAAAGGGAGCCATGCTGCAGGCAGGGAGGGGCCGACAACCACACTCCCTCCAGGAAATCCACGACTGCTCACAACACAAAGGCGGAAACGCACAAGCAACGCAAATCACCATGGGAGATTGTCTTTGAAGACAAAGGCACCTGTGCGTCTCATCCGGTCTTCAGCATACCCAATCAGGGTGTGCTAAGAACTGCGGAGACCACACGGAGGGGAGGTGCGGCTCTCGAGTGTGCTGGAACCCTACGGATAAAACCCAGTGAAAAAGCAAACCGCAGTCTAAGCCAGCTCAGGAGCCTCCTGGGGGGGACGGGGGGCTCACCCCGAGTGGCCTCCAGGTCACCACAGGGCCACTGGAGTCTGCTGTCCTGTTCCGGAGAAGGAGCCGGCACATAAACCAGCAGCCAGCCATCGATGCTCGAGAGCTGGGCCCTGTCCACAGCCAGAGGCGCTGTCCTGCACGTCGGGGGTGGGGGGTCTGCCCTGGCGTCACCACACACAGGTGAGGACGGCACTGCACGTGGACAGCAGGAGCGCGGGATGTCGCTGGGCTCCAGGACACTGCGCTCCGTCCGTCTTACGGATCACCGTCATACCCATGAGCCATCCACAACCAAGGCACCGTTGTCCTGAGTCCAGCCGTGCAGTTAAACGCCCAAGCAGGGAGTAAGTTCCCAGAATGCACTGCGGGTTCACCCACAGGAAGTCAGGCATTCCCGACACCTACAAACAACACAGGATGAAGTGCAGACCGTCTCAGTAATGCTGACAAGGCAGTGCCGTAGACGCAGCTAGCATTCGTAAGCCTACAAGAAGGCATCGAAGGAAGAACCTTAGGTAGAAGGAAGGCTGTTTCCCAAAGTCCACTAGGAAACCCCGGCCCTAGGCCCAGGGCAGGGGCCGCAGCTTAATGAACCCGTAGGAAACCGTGTTATCACACGCCAAACACGAACACGGGGGAAGGAACGTACCTTCGCCGCCGTGGGTGCAGGAGGGCAGCCCGTGCTTAGGACACGGGCGGCTGCACCCGTGGCCGCGGCCCGTGAGCCGAGAGCCCGGCGTGCCGTGATCCCGCCGCTTGGCGTCTCAGACTTCATCTAGGCAACTTCTCCCAGGATGCAGCTATACCATCCCGTGTAGTGCACCGTGAGGACCTGCAACGCGCTCAAAACCAGCCCCTCCTGGCATTTCTAAATGCCCAGCTGGAGGGGAACCACAGCGAGGGGCATGGAGGAGGCCCCTGCGCCACGGCCCTCCCAGCCGCCAGTTCTTAAACGCTTGCCACCTGCCCCAATTCCGTGCTCTGCCCACTCGCAGCCAGGCCCGGCTCCTGGCTGCCTATGCGTTCTGCCCCTGCCTCTCCAGTGCCCCTGAGCCGGCTTCCTGCACCCACCTGAGGGGGCCGTCTAGGCTCCTGTCCCCACCTGGCACTCAGCGGACATCTCCTGCCAGCTCACAGCATGAATATGCCGTATAGAAGTTCACAGGAAAGCCGTGCGATGGAAACACAATGCATGGATGTGAAAATGCTTTGCACCTGAAGAGTCTCAGTTGCATCCTTCCGTGAACTTTGCTAAGTAGCCTCATGCATGTGTCTCCCGCGCCCAGTCACGGTGGGACGCGACAGTCATCTTGGGGGTACTGCGGGGACCCAAGAAAACAGCAAGAACAAACTCCCGGCTTGGAGCGAGGAGACCGCTGTGCCCACGTCGCTGGATTCTGAAGCAACCCCTGAACACAGGGCGGCAGCGTGGTGGAGCGGAGTGACAGCGACTGCGGCAGCCTGTGATTTCCCATCACTCTAGAAGCGGCAGTGACAGGCCTGGCGCCCGCCATGATTGCGAGGCTGCTTGCAGCTGGCGGCCGGTTCCCCCCACAGCTCCCCCGACACGTCTGCATGCCCAGCTCAGCTCGAGGGGTTATTTCCTATGGACTTGGCCACTTCAAGCCTCCACAGGAAAACAGCGTGCTGCGAGGTCAGGACTGCCGGAGACCGCCGCAGCCGGCGTCACTCCAGCAACCAGAAAGGCCCAGAACAACCCCCGCCCCGCAGGGAGAGGCAGGCCCATTGCCAATGGGCGAGCATGGAAGCTCCCTGCCCCCCGAGAAACTGCCCTCACGCCACAGGCTCAGCCTCGGGCTCCCATCCTGCCAGGTCTGGGGCTGACCCCGGGGCCCTGGAGCCCAAACTCCCCCAGTTGCAGGTCTCATGTGCTGGAAGCGGCCTGGACTAGAGGACTGACAACCACAGGCGGGGGCGGCCTCCTGTGACGATGGGGGCATCCCACGGCGCCACCAAGCCCCACTCTCATCCTAACCTCACACATCCCCCCGACTCTGCCTTTCTTCCCACATGGACACGAGAGGGACACAGCCCGGGGAATGGCCCTCCTCACCTGCCCAGCCCCCAGCAGGGGCCATGCTGTGTCAAACCCCAGTTGTAGGACGCCCAGGCCTACTGCAGTACTTCCCCCAGCAAGCCCCTGGGTGAAGGCACTATCTCTCCCCCACGTGCTATGGGCGAGGCTACGAGAGGCAGCCCCAGCACCTCGCAGTGGCCCCGGAGGACTCCTGGTTTCCCTGGTGACGTTCTGTAGCCACAGCTTCCAGAACACGGCGGGGAGCGGCATCTGACCGAGATGTCCACCGCCAGGCCCGCGCACCTGCCGTGAAAGATGTCTCAGCCAACAGCCCCACCATGGCCACGAGCGCCGTCCCGGTGCCCCAGGGCGGCCCAGATACTGAGACGGTGGCACCCCTGCTGCAGAGGGAGCGGTACGGAGCCCACAGGGTCAGGAGTCCGTGCTGAGGACCTCACAGAGGCTCCAGCGTCCAGGTGCTGACATGGGCGGGCAGGCGCGAGCACACAGATGGGCGCCTGTGACACTCCCACGCCACTGCCGCTTAGCTGCCACGCCTTCCCCAAGACAGGTCTGTCCACACTTTTCTCTCGAGCAGCCCCTCTGCCGGGGGCCTGCAGCTGCACAGGCCGGGTCCTGGGTTTCCCGCCCCACTGCGTGGGTGCTCACGCCGACTCCCCCCTCTGTTGCAGGTGATCACAGAAGCCAGCGCCGGCCAGGGCCAGCACCTCATCCGCACCCCCTTCGCAGGAGTGGAGGACTTCTTCATCCCCCCCACCAACCTCATCATCAACCACATCAGGTGAGCCGGGCCCAGCATGCTCTGCGGGCTCGAGGCTGCAGCCCAGGCCGCCTGGGGGCAGCTCAGCCCGGAGTGGGACCTGTCTCAGCGTCTTCTGGGCTGAATTCAGAGCCCACCAGCAAGGAGCAGAGAAGGGGCCCAGCTGTGGGAGAGCAGCACCAGGGCAGCCCATACTCACGGCGGAGGCCCAGGGGCTGCCCCAGGTCAGGAGGGCTCCCAGGGAGGCCGGCGTGGGGAGCAGCGGGCAGAGCAGGAAGCACCAGTGGCCGAGCGCCGCACTCTGGCAGGGGGGCAGGCGTGGAGCCTAGGAGTGGTCACTGCAGACACCCCCGTCCTGTAGCAGTTCTGCCCCTGACCACAGCTTCCTGCTAATGCACACCCTGGGAGGCGTCAGGTAACGGCTCGTGTGGTTGGGCCCCTCACCCACAGGGAAGACCCAAATCAAGTTCCTGGCCTCTGGCTTTGGGCTGGTCCAGCCCAGCTGTTGCAGTGGATGGGAGCTTACTCTTTGTTTCTCTGCCTCTCAAATACATCATTAAAAAAAAATCTATCATAAGTATTGTTGACCCATTTTACGTAGAGGCTGAAAGAAATCAAGTCAGGGGCCAGGGTCACTCAGCCAGGAACTGGCAGCATCCACTCCAGCCATCCAAGGCTTGCACACAGGAGCCCCTGATGCAGCTGTGGCTCAAAGACTTCCACAGGCCCCTCCCAGGGAAGACTCCCTCCCTGCAGGGAGAGAGCATCTGAGCATGCGCCCCACGGGGCAGCCCCACAAAGCCGCGGAGGCCGCCCGGGCTCGGGTGCGGCTTTCCTGTCTAAGACACTTCTAGGGGCAGGGATTTCCCACTCTGCCCGTGCTCCGGGCTCTGTACCGAGTTGAAAACACACACTGGCGGGGAGCCAGCATCTTCCCCACTCTGATGGGCGGTTTCGCAGAAGAAAATTAGCGGGAGAGATTTCCCTTGACCCCAGGGATTCAGACCCAGGCCCTCAAGACCCAGAAGTCCTGCCCCTGGAGCCTGGATCCCCCTCCCCAGCAGGTTGCCACAGCCCACTGCCACAGCTGGTGCCCACCCAGCCCCCTGCACGCTTCCTGCCCGGGCAGGAATTACCCAGTCCTGCACGCGGGGCAGTGGGCGGCACCAGCCCATCTGCCTCCAAAGGCGAACGCTGTCCCAGCCCCTGCTGCCCCAGGTTCCTCCCGACAGCCTGCTCTCCCCAGGGCCAAGGGCACCGCCAGGCCTCGCCCTCCGCGCTCACCTGCCCAGACACAGGCAGGGGAGGTGGATTCAAAGCCTCCCCTGTCCCTGGCCAGTTGTCAACACTCGGCCCGCCCGGAGGCTGCAAAGGCACGCCCCGCAGAGCGCTGGATCTCCCCGGGGGGCCCTGAGAGGCGACCCCGCCCCACAGGAGGCCCCGCCCCCTGACCTTCCGTCTTCCCCTCCCAGGTTCGGCTTCGTCTTCAACAGGTCTGAGCCCGCCGTGCACAAGGTGGACCTGGAGACGCTGGCGCTCCTGGGCACCATCAGCCTGCGGCGCCACGGCTGTGCGCCCCGCGCCATGGCGCACACCCACCTGGGCGGCTACTTCTTCGTCCAGTGCGGCCAGGACGGCCCCGCGGCCGCCCAGCTGCTCATCGACAGCGTCACAGACTCCGTAATCGGCCCCAACGGCGCTGTCGCAGGCACCCCGCACGTGTCCCCCGACGGGCGCTTCGTGGTCAGCGCCGCGGCCGACAGCGCCCGGCTGCACGTGCAGGAGGTCACGGTGCGCGGGGAGATCCAGACACTGCACGAGCTGCCCGTGGGCCCGGGCGTGGCCGACGTGGCCTTCCAGCGCTCCGCCACGCACGGCGGCCAGTACGACGTCTACGCCACGCTGGCCACGCGGCCGCACCTGCTGTTCCTGCAGCTGGCCACGGGCAGGCGGGCCCTGCTCAAGAACCTGAGGGAGCCGCCCGCAGGGCCCGGCCGAGTGGTGCGGGACAGCGGGCTGTTCGGCCAGTACCTGCTCACGCCGGCGCGGGAGTCGCTGTTCCTGGTCAACGGGAGGCAGCGCTCGCTGCGGTGCGAGGTGTCGGGCGTGAGGGGCGGGAGCACGGTGGTGTGGGTGGGCGAGGTGTGAGGGAGCGCCCCGCACCGCCCGGCCCTGACACCGCGGCCCCACGCTGGTCCGCTGTACATTTTCACAGACAAAAGCCAAATTCCGTATTCGCTTTGTGGTTCTACGCTGGCCTCCTTGCAAGTTTCCTAGTATAAGGTGCGCGCTGCTGCCGAGATGGGGTTTTTCGTTCGCAAGTCCGATGCACGCCCTGAGCTCCGACGGAACACGTGCTGCCGCCTAAGGAGTCACCTGGGCGCCAGCCGGCCGCCCCCTCGCCTGGACACGTGGACACGCGTGGGGCCCGCAGGCCCCGCCGCCCTCCAGTGCTGCCTTCACGTTGCCATTGTCCTTCACCGCCCCCTGCCCCGGCGGACGGCGCCCCAGCCGGGGCCTCTGCTGCTTGCTTCTCCGTCCCTGCGGCTCGTCGCCAGCCCCGGGGAGAGCCCACAGGACTTCCTGCATCTCGGGGGACGGGGAAATCACACGCTTTATTTTGGAAATTTTTGACAAGATGATTTTTTTATAATTGTGAATGCTACTAAGCAGGAAGATGCTCTCCGAGGCCCCCGTCACCGTCCACAGCCACAGAGGACAGTTGCCCCCAAGAAGAAGGGCCCCACACGGCCGCCACCCCGTTTGTCCAGGTGCAGGGTGGGCGCCCAGGAGGCCGAGGCCCGCGTGCCTGCTTCCACCGTGCGGGAGAGGCGTTTCCTAGCCAGGCCCAGCACCAGACTCAAGGTGGACCAGGCTCGTGTGACTGGGGGCAAGTGGCCGCCAGGCTCGGTGCCGAAACCCCAGGGACGCCCCGAGTGGCGTCCAGGCAGGTTCCAGAGCTGTGCTTTTGTCCACTGGCTGGCTGCCCAGCCGCAGGCCCTGTCCACACTGCAGAGAGCACGCTTCCGTACATACTGACCCCACTCAGCACCAGACACTGCAGCCCGTGGGGGGCTCCCAGGTGGGCATCAGTGCAATGCAGCCCACCCAGTCCCACAGACTCGACCTGGCCCCATGGGGCTCAGAACACCCGCTGGCCCTCTCTCGCCCACGTCCAGGGTATGCTTCCCAGCTCACCTGCTCACTGTACAAGCCACACGGGGCGGAGAGAGGCAGCCCCATCACAGAAACCTTAGCTCCTCTGGCCACCTCGCCTGCTGCTACGCAATCACCGTGTCGGGGACAAGAAGCTGGGCTGCCTCGCCTGGACACACAGCCCCTGTCCTTTCCACCCGCGGGCCCCCAACTTCCCAACCTCAGCCATCCCCGTGAGTCTCTGGTGTCTGGATCCACGAAGGCCACAGCCCCTGCAGCCCTGCCGCATGTGCCTGGACAGGACCGTGGGTGCTCGGGTTTCCTTAAAGGTAAGATACGCAGAACAGAAGGTGAGGGAACTCACCGCAAACCCGAACACTCAGCGTCCGGGGCTGGGATGGATGAAGACGCATCTCCCCCCTTTTTCCTGCCTCAGTACCTGGGTACGTGGACACCCCAACTCCCACTGTGTCCCTGCAATTCTCCAGTGCTCATGAACCTCCCCCTCCTGGCAAAACGGGGTCAGCTCTGGCAGACAAGGCGTCTGCACCTCCAGGAGGGCGCGCGGCCCCAGGAGGCAAAGCCACAGGGACCAAGAGGATCAAAGGCCCTGCACAGGAAAGTAGGACACTTCTTCGGGTTGGGGCCAGCCTGGCCTGCCCCTCTCCCCCTGCAGCCGCTGCTGGGAACCCGCCCTCCCTACAGATGGAGCCAGCAAGCAGGTGCTAGCGCGACCACCAAAGAGCTGCTTACGGCGGAAACTCCCTCAGAAACCTTGAAATTAACTGCACGGGAGTTCAAGATACACAGCCCACACCTGTGGCAATGTGAAGGCTTTGAAACGGAGACCCTACCCCAGCTCAAGCATGCAGGACCTGGCACAAAGGTTCTGGGGCGAGAGCCCACCCGGCCACCCCCGATGGCCAGGAGGAAGGGCCTGTTGGCCTCGCAGCCACATGAACTTCCGGCGCAGCAGGCCTGAGGCTCAGCCGTCCCCTGTGTGGCCGTAGGAGTCACAGTGGCGGCCTCAGCCTCATGGCCCCTGCCGGCCCTGCCTGGGACTGGGACTGGCCCAGGCCCATTGCTTGGACCTCCAAGCTGTTCTCGTCTCCAGCTGCTCTCCCCAAAGCACCAAATAGAGCTTGCCAGAGCCTGGGGAAGCCTTGGCTGGAGCCAGCTATAGACACCACCTTTCAGGTGCCCCGAGCTGGGGACAGCATGGCCAGAGATGGGAAACCCGATCCTGCAAGTCCCACCCGCTCCCAGGCACCTCCCCACTCCCTGCTCATCTGGGCAGAAAAGGGCCCCTACCTCCAAGGGGCACCCGGAAGATGCTTATCACCCCCAAAGGAGCATCCCAGCTGCTGGGTCTCCATCGAACAAAGCAGCCAGGAGCCGGCTGTGAATGCCCCGTCTTCCTGTTTCTGTCGACCAATAGCCTGTGAACTAAAGGAGATTTCAGAACTGAGATGTGAATCTGGTCCGTTCTGGATCTATTTTTCTACAGGGGGCATACACAGCGCACTCCTCGCTTCTTCACAGTGTGCTTCATTCCACACGCCGTCCCCACCGTGCACCGCTCTCCGCCCCCACCCCATCTGTGACCTCCTCCTGAGAAGCCAGCCTCCAGGAGAGCCAGCATTGCTCCTGCCTCCCTCCTAGGCATCCGCCAATCTACCTCACATTCTCCCTGCATCCAGCACCCCCACGCGCTGCCCCCGACCCAGAGGTCCCCTGCGAGCTTCCACTGCCCAGGAACCTGCAAACGGACGCCAAGTGCAGTCAGGACCCACTGGGCCACGGCCCCTTGCTGCCCAGAACCACGCACACCAAGCCCTAGCTCACAGCCCTTGGAGTCGGGACCGAGACCAGAGAGCGCTTACTCAGCGCTGTCAGGGACGTGGGCTCCCGGCCAGTGGAACAGACCACTGATCTGAGCCATGCCTTGTCTCTGAGCCCCAGCCCCTCAACCTCCCCCGCCCTCGTCTCTCTCCCTTTCCTGTTGCCTTCCCATGAGCCACACAACAATGGCTCCCACCATCCTAGGAGCAAGTGGCCTTACTGCGACACCAGCCCTCGGGGCGTCCGCCCATCCAGCGTCCCAGCTTGCGGTACGGTGAGGAGCCCCCCACAGGCCAGATGCCGCTCTTGGCTCCCAGACCGGCGCCCAGGCTGAGCAGTTCTGTTCTAGAAAGCCACTCGCTGCCTTGGTTCCTGTCCACAATCAGAGATGACAAAACAGAGATGCTTCAAGGCTTCCAGGAGAGAAACTTACAGTGCCTGCCCTCACGGTGTGACCACGAGGCCCCAGGCAGCCCACCTCCTGCTCTTGTCGGCTACACTGGACCGCCCGTCAGGTCACTTGAGGATCCCAGCACCTTGTCGGGGCCCGCGGGCTTGGCCGTCCGCCTCCCAGTAGGGAGTGAGAGACGAGCAAGCATGTTACGCATCCACAACCCTCTTTGGAGCACTGGGAAGCGCATGGGCAAGCCAAATTAGCCAAACCCCAGATCTGAAATGACCAAAAATGGGGCAAGTGGGGATTCCCCTCCAGAATTCACTGTGGGGCTCCTTTAGCCAGCACTGGAGTGTTCAGCAGGTGCTTTTGTGGTTGGTGTTTGTTTGTTTTATTTTTTTACAAATCTGCAACTCACACACCCTCCTTTGCAGCTCATCATAACTGACACAGGACCATCCCTTTCCCATGGGGCCCCAAGAGCGCGGCTGCACCCCAGAGGGCTCCGCCTGCACTCCACAAAGCAATAACTGTTGACTCGCCGCGACACCAAGCCCGGCGACACGTGGGGCCCCACAGCTCCGGGGCAGGAGAAGCCGCGGCAGCCCCTGGCACACGCTCCCCAGGAGCAGAGCGTGGTCTCTGAGGATGGGCAGCCAGTTCTGACCGCCTGCAAGACACAAGGGCCCCAAGGCTAAGGCTTCGCCCACCGCCCAGCGCGACACCTGCCGATGGCAGGAGCATGGCTGGTGCCTGGCTGCTCCGGCCGCTTCACAGATGCGAGGGCCACAGGTCTGCTGGCCCCCACCCATGCAGGTGGGGCCCATGCAGTGGCACCCGCCTGCCCACCCAGCCCCACGGCTCCCCACGCTTTTCTGACAGCCACGAGAGGCTCTGAGAACAGAGCTGGGCTCGGAGCATCGGCCGAGGGCTCCTGTTCCACGAGATGGCACAGCCACGCGGCCCCTGGCGTGGGAAGCTGCACGCACCACCTGTCCTGGGCGGTTCTCCCCTCCCCGCCCCACACCACTTCCGGATCTCTTCCATCAAGGCAGATTACGTTATTTTGAGCTGTTGTGTAGACTCCCAAAATATATTTTCTCTAATCACCAGTATTTCTCAAAGGCCTCCTGTAATTATTATACATGTGAATTTTTCCTTATTTATACAATATATATAAATTATTTTTAATACATCAACTTTAGTAGAAATTTGTACCAACACAGTAACAGTCCGTGGCGTTTGAAACCAGCTTGTGTTGCGCTGACGTATGACACAGTATTGCACACACGATGTCTCTGTGGTTCCACTGGACGGGGAGACTCACACACCACCATGAGTGTCGTCATTATAAATGCTCTTTTTCTGAGGATTTTACAATAAAACTTGAGAAACGTGACCTCTGCTGCTGGCAGTCTGTATGCCGTGGAAAGGGGGGCGTGAGGTAGGCAAGAGCGCCTGCTCTGCCTGCTCCCAGGAGCTGCTGGGCCCGCCAGGCCCTGAGGGCTCTCTCCCCTGGATTCCGGCCTCGGCTCCCTGGCAGGCCCAACTCAAACCCCTCTGCACTCCCAGGGCTCTCGTCCTCCCTGGGACAGCACGGTGAGTGCTCACTTACCGACCTCCCGGGGTGGGCACCACCACGAGCCACCAGGCAAGGGAGGGCGGGAGGAGCGAAGCAGCCCCGCCTCACTGAGCACGGCTGCCTGTCAGGGCCCTCCCGAGAGAGGGAGCAGGGGAGCTGCTGCCGTGGGGTGGGCGCGTGCGATCCATCGCGGCGGCTCGGCAAGGCCGGGCCAGCAGGCTCATGACCCAGGGAAGAGCTGCAGGCCACGGGCAGAAGCCGCCCTCGGAAGTCAGTCTCCAGCGTGCGAGACTGACTGCCAGGCTGACGCTGCGTGCACCACACAGAGGCACGTGCCCGACTCCCGGTCTACTGACAGAACCGCAGATCTCTACAAACAGCCTTTCCCCAGCAACAGCGACTCTGCCATTCGCACCCGACTGGCCCTGCGCAGGTCTCTGGACCACAATGCCACAGACCAGTGGCTTCCGAACAACAGAAACATGCTGCTCACAATTCCAGAGGCGGGCAAGGTCAAGGTCAGGGCGCCAGCAGGGTCAGCATCTGCTAGGAGCCCAGCCCCGGAGCACAGACGCCACCCTCTCACTGTCCCCTCACCCCTGCGACCCCACCACCTCCACAGGCCCCGCCTCCACACACCATCCACACGGGGATGGTCCTCAACAGAGGAACGTGGGGGAACGCAGACTAGGGACCAGTGTCTGCAAAGCATGTAGCCAAGCAAGCACGCGTGGGTGAAGTTCACAAAGAACTCACAAAACTCAGGAGCCAGATAACCGGCCAGCACTTGCTTCAGAGGTCTAGCCGCCCACATCCCACACTGGAGTGCCTGGTTCCACTCATGTCCAGCTTCCCGCTCACACACACCCCGGGAGGCAGCAAATGGCTCGAGGAGTTGGGTCCCTGCTACTCATGTGGGAGAGTCAAGTTGAGTTCCTGGCTTTTGACTTATATACTTACTCTCTTTATTTCTCTCTCTCTCTCCCCATCTTTCTTTCAAATAAATACATATATTTTAAACAGTATAATAACAATCAGTCCACTTAGAAAATGGGCAACATACAAGGATTTGGAAAGAGACATGGCAGCGAAGAAGACACACAGGTGTTAAGTAGTCATGTTCTGGAATTGCAGGCAGCTGGCGAGAGAAGCTGAGGCCTGACAGCCCCAGCCGAACAGCTGCTGGACAGCTCCAGGCCGACCCGCAGGACAGCGCACCAGCCAATGATTGACAGCCAGAGACACCTGGCGGCTTGACAGCCAGAGCCAACCCGCCAAGGGGCACCTGTGGCCGGCCCATATGACAGCCTGGCCCTGACTACCTGCCAAGTCCTTTCTGTGCACTGTGCAGGCCCACCTCTCACGTACCAGCAGGCCCCGCCCCCTCTCGCTTTAGGGGAAGCCACAAGATGCACCATGTTACAAACATGGAACTAGCAGGAGCCAGAAATATGCAACTTGGCTGCAGGATGTGTCCCCACAATGACCTTTAGATGAGTAGAATGTCACAGCAAAATTACCATGGTGGGCACTCATGCCCCGTCACGTACCTGACGCCATTGATACTTGCAATATTTCCTAATAAGGGCACAGAAATGGGTGGTGCCCAACCCCCACCTCAAACTCTTCCCCTCTGAAGATTCCATCGGGCCCCACCCACACAGGCCCCTTGCCCTCGGGAGGGTGCAGAGGGAAGACCCGGCCTTGTCCAGGCTTTTTCACTGCCGGTGCTTTTTCTTGCTGGGAGCCACTTCTCTGGGCCTCCGTGTGTCTGGGGCTGGCTGGCCATGCACTCCGTGGTTCTGGAGTTTGCTGCACAGGCAACCCTGCTCTCCTGCGCATCTTGCCTCCACTCTGCACTCTGCCAGGCGCACAGGGCAGACCCGCCACAGGCCCCGCCGGAGCCGCCCACAGCCATCAAACTCCAGGCCCAGGGCTGTCACCACATCCCTAGCGGAGCTGCTAAACGCCACCCTGGTAAAATGACAAGCGGCGACAGCACCAAACGCTGCTGAGGGTGCAGAAACGCTGGTCACGCGGCCCTTCCCACCGGCAGTGTTTCTGGAAAACAGTATGGCAGTCTTTTAAAAACTCGCCTTTCACCTGTCAGGGGACTCACTAATCACACTCGCAGACAGCGGTCTGCAGGAAATGAAGACGGCGCCCTCATTCCCAAACCGGATTCCACGTGTCCCAGCAGCCTCTTCACAACACTGGCAACTGCAGAGCAGCCGGGCGCTCCCCCGCGGCAGATCCGCCCCACAGAGTCCCGCTTGCCCCTGGGGGCGGAGCTCCCGACGCACAAACCCACCGTGACCGATTCCCCAGGGAATGACGCTGAGAAAGGCCAGGGCCGACAGGGTGCACCCCAGGCCACGCCCCAGGCCCTGGCCTTTCCAGAAACAGCAGATCCCCCGTCCCCCGTCCCCCGTCCCCCGGGGTCAGACAGGCAGAGGAGGTGTGGGGCACCAGCAGCGGCTGTAAAAGCACACGCACCCTTGCCAAGGGGACGCTCCGTGCGCCGTCAGCCCCGGCCAGGCTGTGCACCGCGGCTCTGTGCCATGCTGCTTTTCGGGGAAGCTGGGCAGTGGGCACCCAGGGCATTTCTGTATCTTACGAATGCTCGTGAATCTACAGTCATCTCTCAAGAAAGGCAGGGAGACCTTGAGGCCCGATCGTGTCACCAGTGAATATTAAATATTTCAGGAAAGCCAAACAACCATTTAACACGCAGTCCTCCAAAGAACAGAAAGAGAATAGGGGCCAGCGCTATGGTGCCGAGGGTTAAAGCTCCCACCTGAGGTGCCAGCATCCCAAATGGGTGCTGGTTCGAGTCCCGGCTGCTCCACTTCTGATCTAGCGCTCTGCTATGACCTGGGAAAGCAGTGGAGGATGGCCCAAGTCCTTTGGGCCCCTGGAAGAAGGTCCTGGCTCCTGGCTTCATATCAGCTCAGCTCCGGCCATTGTGGCCATTTGGGGAGTAAACCAGCAGGTGGAAGACCTCTCTCTCTCTCTCTGCCTCTGCCTCTCTGTAACTGTTCCTTTCAAGTAAGTTAATAAATAAATCTTTAAAAAATAAACTATCCCCAACTTCATCTGTGATGTTAGAATAATGCTTTTATACCAAAATCCAACAAAAACAACTCAAGAAAGGAAAATTACAAGTCTGTTTTATTCATAATATAGATTCCAAAATCCTAAATAAAATATTAACAAACTAAATCCAGCAATTTAGAAAAGTATAATGCATAATGATTAAGTCTCATCATTCCCAGAACTGCCAAGTCTACTTAGTATTAGGAAAAACCAGATTGGTCTCTGGCCTAGCAGTTAAAACATCCATTAAGGGCCAGAGCTGTGGCACAGCGGATTAAAGCCCAAGCCTGAAGTGCCCGCATCCCATATGGCTGCCGGTTCGAGTCCCAGCTGCTCCTCTTCTGATCCAGCTCTCTACCACGGCCTGGGAAAGCAGCAGAGGATGGCCCAAGTCCTTGGGCCCCTGCACCCACATAAGAGACCTGGAGGAGGCTCCTGACTCCTGGCTTTGGATCAGCGCAGCTCCGGCTGTTAAAGCCATCTGGGGAGTGGACCAGTGGTTGGAAGACCTCTCTCTCTGTCTCTACCTCTCTCTGTAACTCTTTCAAATAAATAAAATAAATGTTTTTTAAAAATCCGTTGAGACACCCATATCCCAAACGGGAGCGCCTGGGTTTCATAGCTGGCTCCCTCCTGACTCCAGCTCCCTGCTCAGGCACACCCGGAGGCAGCAGTGACGGCTCCAGTGTTTGTGTGTCTGGCACCCGTGTGGGAGAGCTGCCTGAGCACCCGCCCAAACCCAGCCACAGCAGGCACTGGGCGGGTGAACTTCGATGTGCTGCATCACCACATGAAGAAAAGCATACGTGCACAGAAGCAGCGCTGGGAAGCCCTGCACTCATTCACCATCATGCTGGCTTCTTAGCCACGCAGAAACAAACTGTCAACTAAAAACTGGTCAGGGCGGTCCACAGCAAAGACTTTACAGAGCTGCAACATTACACCGTGCAGCTGTGCCCTGCGCAACAGGGAGAGACAGAGACCCCAGGACTGCGAACAGAACGCAGCACTGGGCACCACGGTCCTAGCCAGGGCCACAAGAAGGAAAAACAAAAGGAATAAAGCAAGACTATTTGATTATGTATGCACAACATTAAACTGAATATGCCTGATACATAATTAAATAACAGGGACAGGATCTGCACAGCAGTTCAACAGGCCACCCGGGCCACCCACATTCCCTGTTGCAGTGCCTGGGTTCAAGCCCTGTCTCTACTCCTAATTCCAGCTTCCAGCTAATGCACACCCCGGGAGGCAGCAAGCTACAGTCAAGTCAAAGTACGCAGGGAGAAGCCGGCTTTGCGCCGCAGCAACGCCAGCATCCCACACCGCAGTGCCAGCCGGAGTCCAGGCTGCTCCACTCCAACCCAGTTCCCTGCTAACACGCCTGGGAAAGCAGCAGACAGAGCTCCAAGCCCTTGGGCCCCTGCACCCGTGTGAGAGACAGGACAGAGCTCCTGACTGCTGGCTCAGCCCGGCCCAGACCCCGGTGTTGTAGTCACTCGAGGAGTGATTCACTGGGTGGAAGATGTCTCTCCCCTCATATCCCTCACTTCCTCCATCCCTGATGTCCTACCATTCAAATAAACAAACCTTTAAAAAAAAAAAAAAAAAAAAAAAAAAAAAAAAAAACACACAACCAGAGAGAAGACACAGCTGACTGGAACTGCAGCAGTCATCCAGCTGACAGACTTTGCAGCAGCAACACAGAACTACAGAAA